GCCGGCAGGTCATAGTATCAGACAATATTCTTTGATACATAAGATTTTCATTGGCAATTTTGAAAAAGCACATCTCCAGACCTTTCTTCCTATTCTGCCTTAGTCTGGAGGCTGTGCTGAAACCTGCTCATCAGGGGCAATTCTGCTGGTGTTTGAAATATTGGTGGTATACCTTCCAGCATCATAGCAATACACATGCCATTACAGTATGACAATATGACAAATGGGTGATGGTTATTATATATATTATATATCATATAATATATAATATTATATTTAGAATAAATGCACATATTCAAAAGTGTATGCTTGGTAAATGTCGTCATACATATACACTTGTGAAACCATCACTTTAGTCAGGGTAATAAATATATCTGTTACAAACACATCCCCCCTGCACAAGATCCCTAGTTCCCCTTTTCGTTTAGATGTTTTGGGGGGACGTTTTGGTGGGACTTTTTTGTATCTGTGTATCTATTGGACCTGGTAGGCTGTGATCTGCAAGGTCAATAGTTCAAAGCCACCAGCCTGCTCTTCAGGAGAAGGTCAGCGCTTTCTGCTCATAGGGGTAATTCTATCCTGTCCTGGCTCACTATGAGTTGGCATTGACATATTGACAGTGAGTTTGGTTTTTGGTTTGGTGTATCTGTTGGTTCCACCCATATCTCAATTATTGTCCTATAATGCCTTGCATGTTGCTATGATACTGAATGAAGACTCTTGCTACTGGTTTTCAAACATTACCTGGGTCACTTATGGTGGACAAGTTTCCAGAGAACATCCAAACTAGAAAGAAGGCCTGCAGATCTACTTTTGAAAATTAGTCAATGAAAATGGTGTTGGTCACAGCACAGTACTGTTCCTTATAGTGCTGGAAGATGGATCCTTTAAGTTGGAAGGGACTCAGATTACATGCATGTAGTCACAACAGTGGAGTTCTGCATATCAATTATCTTGAAGATGGAGTAGGACTAGACAACATTTCCCTCTGTTGTACAACGGAGATTCAAAGTTTGTGAGAAAATCCCATGTCTTTTTTTATTAGTTTTATTAGCATATATTTTACGTATCATACAATTTAATCATTCAGTTATATTAAGAAACGTTGTGCAATTATCATCACCACAATCAATTTCAGAGCATTTTCCTCTCATTGTTATTAACTCCCCTATCCTCCCCTGCTGTGCCTCTACGCAATTATCAATCCAGTTACTGTCTCTATAAATCTACCTGTCCTGGATTTCATATACTGAAAATTATACAAATCACAAGCAGGAAGCAAACAAACAAAAAAACACAACAACAATGCTTACACAAAACATAGAAAACTTTAATTGAAAAGAAAGAAAATATTAAAAACAAATAGCTTTAAAATGGGTCATAAGGGAGATAAAATGATAATATAATTACCTCTGCCATAATCTACTTTCCAGTCATCTGTCTGATAGCAAGCCTATTCACATCTCTTGACTATGTTTAGAGGAGATTCACCAGAGGCTTAATCCATGTGGGGACCCTACAAATAGATTTTGCGCTACCACTCTCATTTATAGCCTTCTGCATTATCTTTTGATTGCATTGATTTGCAAACGTTTTGAACCCCCTAATACATGAGCATACCCTGAGATGGCACCAACTCCATAGCAACCATCAGCAACAGCCGGACGGTCCTTTCAGCCAGTCACCGGGTTCTCTTTGCTCCTTTGTCAAAATTCACTCGACATACAAATGTGGGTCTATTTCTCAACCGAAAAATGGGTGAAGGGAGACGTCGGACAGGGCAAGATATGACAAAATACCAATTTATAAACTATCAAGGGCTCATGAGGGAGGGGGGAGCATGGAGGGAGGGGAAAAATGAGGACCTAATGTTGGGGGTTTAAGTGGAGAGAAAATGTTTTGAGAATGATGTACAAATGCGCTTTATACAATCGATGTGTGTACGGATTGCGATAACAGTTGTATGAGCCCCTAATAAAATGTTTTAAAAAAATAAAATAAAGATTACAGTCTCAGAAAAAAAATGTCGGTCTATTTCTAAACTCCACATTTTGGTTCACTCATTTGTGTAATACAATACGAGCTTGATCATGGCAGCTGTGTAGTAAATCGTGAAGTGAGATAATGTAGGTCTTTCAAATTTGCCTCTTTGTAAAATTGTTTTAACCTTTTAGCTGGGCACAATTTTATATGAATTTTTATAATTAACAGAAAGGAGTCAATACTGAGATTCCAACACATAGCTATGGTATCTTTCCCCATTTATTCAGAGGTACAGTATTTTGTATATTTTACATAGGTGTTGCATATCTTTTGCCATATATATTCCTGAGTATTTTATATTTGATGCTATTGTAAGTATTTTATGATTTTACTTTTTTTAATTGCCCACAACATAAAGAATTAAGGTAAATTTTGTATTTAGATCTTTCTTGCAAGCTTTCTACATTTGCTTATCCCAATTTTTTGTATAATAAATATTTATAAATTATATTGTCTGAAAATACAGTTTTACTTATTGCTTTTCAATCTGGATGTTTTTATTTTGTTTTCTTGCCTTATTGCACTGGTCAGAACTTCCATCCCACCACTGAGCAGACATTCCTGTCTTCCTACTGATCTTAGGAGAAAACATTAGTCTTTCACCATTAAGAAGCCAACTAAATAAAACTATAATGCATGACTTCAGCCCTTATACTTGCTAAATGTTAAAGATCATGTTCATTGTGAATTTTTAAGTGTGATTTTTGTCAGATGAGCATTAGCAAGTTAGTTCATGGCATATGCCAAGTTCTGTGTCTAACTTCAGTTTACCAGATCATGCTTCCACGTACTTCCTTTCCCAGCTCAGATTCCATGATCCATTAGTCTTACAAACACGCTCACTCTTGTGCCTTGCTCTCTCTACACTACACTTGCCTTGGAAAATCGCAAACATTAGTGACGAAAAATGCACAAGCCTTGTGACCTCCCCTCACTTAGAGTAAAATCACAACTCTCAAGTTAGCTTGCAAATCTAAGTAAAGTGCTCTGTAGTGAATTTTGTTTTTCTAATGCACACTTTTTCCCTCTCAACAAACTTGCTGTCAGATTTATTCTGCAGAGACTTTGCCTAGTCTTACCACTGCAAGTGTAACATCTGCTTTATATGCAGAAATGTTGGTATCCCGCCTTCAACAGCAACCTTACCTGAGTCCAAATCTTCTCTGCTCTTGACTGGTTTAGGTGGTTAATAAAAAGAAATCTGTATCTCCCTCTTAAATAACTGGGGTAGGTTTGACTTTTGTCTTGGGCTCTTCACTTATTCTCATCAGCTAAGCAAAAAAATAAATTTTCCGTCTTGTTTTAAAAAATTGAACCTATAGATCACGCCATCTCTCCACCATCTATACAGCAAAATCTATTCAGTTGCTTAAATGTGCTTCTTTTCTGTATCTCCTGTACTCTTTTGCAGTGTGATTTGTTCTGAAATATGGTAGCCTTTCAAGAAGATTTAAATAATAATGTTGCAAGTACCATTTACTAATCACGCAGTCTAAGAAATTAAACATGATCGATTTTTTAAAATGTTTCTGCAAGCTTTCCCCCAGTGTACTTATCTATTTACCAAATGTCACATTCTCTCTAATCTAATTAGGTTTTATATACAGCTTTCATCACTGAGACTCATGCTGCCGTTGATTTCTAATGTGCTTAAATTCAATTTTCTGTCCTCTTCTAATTCAACTTTTTGATACTGTTTGCTCCTGCCACTTTCTGGAAACTCTGTTTTGCTTGATTTTCTAACATCTAATTCTCATGGGTTGTTTTTTCTTTTCTGTTTGCTAATTGAATAGCCTCTACCTTTTTTCCCCCTATACTCAAAATGCAAATCTCCCCTAAATTTAGGTCTCTAAGCTTTCTCTTCCGTATTTTTACTATTTTTTTAGATTACCTCATAACATTCAGTTTTATCCATAGCCTGTAACTAAAATCTATCTAGCCAAATTCATTTCTTGAACTCTAGACTTGCATCTGTCATCATCTAATTTTCCCTCCCCCTGAATTTCAACATAGAACTTTCTCTATACTCCTACCCAAAGCCACTCTGTCCCTCACTGTTGGCCATCTCCACAAGTCAGCCACTTACCAGGCCTGAAAACTAGTAGTTCACTTTGACCTCGCTCTCTGTCTCTCAGACTGCAATGAAAGCTGAAATTCTATCTTACATTAACATTTTTCCACAACTAATGATTGCTTCCTTATTTTGTCTCTGTTTAGTTTGAAAAATGTTGATTTTATATAGTATTCTGAGTTGAAAGATAATGTATACCACTTTTCTGAGGTAAGCTGGAGGTCAATTATATTAACCTGACAATAAAGTATGCCAAATTATTATTTATTCAGCTACTAAAATGATTTCTGGCTCAGACAAATTGCTATTCCTTTCAGAATATCTGGTTTTCTTGAATACATTGAAAGTTATTTTAGATCAAAGATATATAGTACAGGCCATGGCCTAAGTTTTGTAGAACTCATGAGCAAAAAAATCAACTTTACATTTGAAAAGGGCTGTTTAAAAAAAAGAGGAAATCAGTGACCCTGAGGCTTATAAAGACTAAAAGAATTACTATTTGACCTTTTAATATTTATAACATTATTAAGGAGTTATAATAGTTGGTAAATTAATCTAACTATACTAATTTCTAGTCAAAGTAAAACAAGTTTAAGGTAATTTCTTAGTTGCTTAATGTGTATCCTTAAAGTCAATTCATTACAACTTTGAAGGTTAACAAATTAACCAAGTGTGTTATATTAACTCTGTTTAACTGTGGAAAAATACATTTGAAAAATTTTAATTATTTTACAAAATATAACTTCTAAGATAATTAGCATATAAAATAGTACCGTTAGCGTAGAAATATCTGAAAAATTTTAAACATATGTACTATATGTAAGATTGGCATGTATTTTGGGTATTATAATCATTATCTCTTTATATTTTCTTTTTCTCCATTTAGATAGAAGCAGATTTGGGCTATCCTGGTGGTAAAGCAAGAATTATTCATAAGGAATCTGATATCATTACTGCCTTTGCTGTTAATAAAGTGAGTGCATGGATATTTTTCTTTTCTTAGTGATGTTATTTATTATTTTTTGTTTAATCATTTTTCTTTTCACAATTAGAAAATACCTAGTCTCAATTTTATTATCAGTATTTCTTTTGATAGACTAACTTTTTATTTTGTATTCAATAGACTAACTTAAATTTTAGTATCACTTTTTAAGTTTTAATCCTAAATTGCTGTTTTTCAACTTTATGAAATGTTTATATTATTTGATAATATAAGTTACTGTGTAATTGCATATACACAGCAGACAAAATAATGCTTTCTTGTAATAAGGAAGTATCAAGTATAATCAGTAATCTGTGGAATTATACAATACATTCTAGCATCCAATCTAAAAAAAAAGGTTTTCACTTCCTTTGGTATTTTGAAAGTAGTTCTTTAACTTAATCAAATATAAGAACAACCTTAAAAAAAAGAACAACCTTGAACATACTCATCAAACAAAAGCTTATAGGCACCTTCATGGAGATTCTCCGTCTTTGAATTAAGAAGGAGCCTGGTGACATATTGGATTACGTGTAGGGCTGCTTATCTGCAAGCTCAGCAGTTTGAACATCCCGCCTCCAGCCACTTTGAGGGAGAAAGATGAAGCTGTCTGTTTCTGTAAAGATTTATGGTCTTAGAAACCTTATGAAGCAGATGGGTGGGGCGGTGGGGGGCAGCGGGGGACGACTGATACCAAGGGCTCAAGTAGAAAGAAAATATTTTGAAAATGATGATGGCAACATATGTACAAAAGTGCACACGATGGATGTATGGATTGTGATAAAAACTGTAAGAGCCCCTAATAAAATGATTTTTTTTAAAGAAAATGAACCCTATTGTATTAGTCTGGGTAGACTAGTGAAACAAATCCAGGGAGATTCATATATGTATAAGAAAGAGTTTTATATACAAGAGCAATTGTATGTTAAGAAAACATCCCAGCCCAGTTCAATCCAAGCTCATTAGTCTGATATTAACCCATATGTCCAGTCTGTAAGTTCCTCTTCAGACTCATGCAACACATGCAATGACGCCGAATGCAGGAAGATCACAGGCCAGTGGGTGAAAAGTCTTGTGGATCCAATGGCAGTAGAGGCATCTCAGCACTGGGAGGGGTCTCCACATGATTCCTCTAGCTCAGAGAGAGAGAGTCTGTCTCCCAACTCCAAGGAGGAATATAGGAGTTCCCAGAATCCTTAGGAGAAGGCCATGACCACACAGAGGCCTCATTGGATATGACCTGATTGGCAGGCTAGACTCCACCCCTTCACTCTGAATCCTCAAATTGACACCAGATTATGTAACTACTACACCTATGAAGCAATCCTCTTCAACTCAGTAGCATTGGGTTTAAAGTTATTGTGCTCAACAAATTTAGATTCCCTCATAAAATATATTTGTGAAAGATAATTAGCATGTAAAATGATACTTTTAACATAGAAATAACTAATTTTTTATCATTTATGTTTTAAATGTTTAACTTAATGTGTTAATTTTAATGTATTTAAATTTTTAATTTTTAAAACCAGTGTGTTTTCTATCTACTGCTTTTTAAGATTCTCCTTAGAGATGTCTATGAGCTTGTGGCAGCTTTTACCATATATACTCATGTATAAGCTGTTTTTCAGCACAGTTTTTGTGGTAAAATTAGGTCACTCGACTGATACTCGGGTTGGTTTATACTCAAGTGTATATGGTACCTTTAAATCCAGTGAGTAGTTCAAGGTTTAAGTCACTTGTTTTAGTCACTTTTAGTGTTTTTATTACTTGTCTTTAGTCATATTCATTGCCTTACTGCAAAATTTCTAGTCACTTTTAATAATATAAACATAATTTGTTTCACATATACCTACCCATAAAAGTAATGTTAATATAGTACTGTTTAATTAAAATTTTATATATGTGATATTTTGCAAATGTCTATTTCTTAGATGTATATCCTACTGAATGTTAACTATTCAATAATCCTTACAACATTTGATTCTCCATCTTGCTGTGCTATATCTCTTTTCTTCATTTTTCCTAGATACTTCCTGTTTCATTCTGTCCCCATAGCCCCTTGTGTCCTTCCTCTCACAGATATTCCTGAGCAATGATTAGTTCTATTCAAGACAGGCAAGTCCAGAATCAGCCCTTTATCCAGACAGTTCTCATGTTATAAATTTTAAATACCATGCTTCTTTTCCTTATTGCCCTCAAATTCAAAATTATGGCATGTGCCCTATAAAATCTGCCCCCCAGTCCTTCAATAAAGTAGATTTTTAAGTATTCTATGTGAAAACAATTTTTCTTTTCAAAAAACA